CATCCTCCTTAGATAACTTGAGTAACAATAGCCCTAGGTCTGTCTTTCAGCAATTCTGAAAACTAAATTAGACTTGTGCTCAAAGTACCTTTGTACCCAATAATACTCCAGAAATGATTTAACACATAAAATGATAGGCGCCCCTCTCCATAAGGAGTTTACACTCCAGTGAGGGACACACAGACAGTAAGGATGACAAATAAATTGCACACAGCATTTGAAAGTAGCAGGAACTCTAGGAGAGGATGAGGGTCAGACACAGATCAAAAGAAGGATCCTCATGTGTGCCTGATGAGGAAATTAGGATGTATCTTAATGGAATAATCAACTAATCGGTTTCTTAAGAAGTGGCATTTGAACAGAGATTAAGGATTAAGAGTGAGCCAGAGGAATTGTGTCCCATGTAATGTGGGAATCTCTGGGAAAGATCATGCCTGTCATCTGTTTGACTGCCCCAAGTAAATAGCCAGTGTCTGCAGAAGAGGCAGAGGAGTAAAGGAGAGTGGCAGCAAATGAGGGTACAGACAGGAGTGAGACGAGGCATTCTGGGCACTAATAGATTCCAAAGTTCATGGGTTTGCATCTCATACAAAAATAGTGATTACTTATAGATTAAAAGCATCCAGAAAATAAGCGAGTCATGTCTCTTGGGATGGCTATCAAAGCTTAGTGCCCAGAGTGCCTCTCAATAATGTGCAGTAGCGCTATTTGTCCCTCTTGTTTGACCACCTTTCTCTTCCCCAGTCCCTCCTGGACACATCTGCCAAGGAGATGGCAGCACTGAAGCAACACCCACATCAGGACTGGCCATTGTCTTTCCAAATTGCTAGAAAGGATTCTCCAGAGGAAGAAAGAGGAAACCCCCTCCAATTTAATCCTGTCTCACCTGGCCAGGAAGTCTTAGTTCATTGATTGTAGTGTGATCTTTGAAATGCCACAATAATTGCTTTGCAGAAATGGCTGATTATAACATGAGGCCAGGACATCTATAATCTGATCTTTTAGCATCTTGAAGAGCCAAGAAGTTAAAAAGTGTTCAGAATAAAGACAAAAACAAAGGAAGCTTGCAATGGTCACTGTGGCAAAGATATAAAAGCCAAAAGAAACCTCACAGTAGTCAAAGCAGGAATGTTTGAAACAATTAAGTGACCACATAATACATTATAATATTCCGAGTATACCTAGATATAAATAAGTAAATGAAAATGGAAAGAGACCAGCAGAAGAATCCTAAATACTATTATGCATTACCATAATTTCAGGACGCAGAATATAACCCTTCGGTTCAAAAATGTAGGTTGTTCACAGCAACTTCCTTCCAAGGTGTATACCACAAAGGGAAAAATATACTAACAAAGAAGAAATCTGACAGTGACTACCTCAGCGTGAAGATCACATTCAGTATCAATAAGGCAAAGCCAGATTGATAGTGTATACCTATGATAAGATGAGACCAGAGTGACATTTACCTTTCCAATCTTCTTCCAAAACACATAACCTCAGTCTAATCATTAGAAAAGCATTAGACAATGCCCAATTGAAAGACAGTCTGCAAAACGCCTGACCAGTCTACCCCAAAATGCCAAGGTTATTAAAAAGCAATGAATGTTTGAAAAAATGTCACAGCCATGAGACAACTAGAGAGCTAAGGGAAATGAACACAGTGTCATCATCTTCCTGGTTGAACCCTGGAGTAGAAAAGGTTAAAATTAAGAACATCTAAGAGAAGTTAGACTTTGGTTAATGTGACTATGTTAGAGAGTGTGATCCTGGAGCAACTAGAAGAGTCAGCAAACAAGGGAGTGTTCAATGTGAAAGGCAGACAAACATACAGTAGTCACCACATGTCAGATTGATGCATAAAACCAAAGAAAGGACTACCAGTCAAAGCCAGAACATGTTAAACAAGCAGGTACCATAGAACTGAATCACAATGCCAAGGATATATAAACTTCAAATGTACCACACTGAAGATGCCAATAATTAGATAATACAAGGAGGAAATAATGGAGTGGGGTATAATTGAGGATTCTCAATACCGCCTTCATAAATTTTCTGGAAATCTAAAATTACTCTGTAATAATAAAATGACTTCTTAAAAATGCCTCAGATTATCATGCTATCATAAGTTCTGCTCTTCATAACTGCCCGTTGGAGACTCATATTTCAACTCAGAATCTTCAAAATTTTCTGTAGTCTTCATACATAAATGGTTCCCCCAGGCCACATGTGTTTATAGAACCTGGGACATACCCTACTGCTATTAATGTCAACAAATGCATTTATTTTACTTAGTCATTTAGAAAAGACTTCTAGACTTCTTCCATGAAGAAATAAATGATAACCTTTATCCTGCCTCAGTTTACAGCTTGACTGGGAAAAGCCACAAACATTGACTACTGGGTAATTGGAAATGCATGGAATAATAAGAGAATGCATAGTATGGAGATGATGACCATTCTCTAAAGAATTGATCTTGGCATTGAGTTCTTAGGAAAATTCATGATCACACACACACACACACACACACACACACGCTCTCTCTCTCTCTCTCTCTCTCTCTCTCTCTCATACACGGATATTTATACATATGCATATGTGTGTACCCTTCTCTATCTCACCCTCTCTTTCTCTCCATAGTTACGTGTATGTATGCGTGTTAGAGGGAGGTGAGTTTGGACCGCTAGGTACTAATAGACAGGACTGTGCTGGATTGGTGGAGGTGGATAGGAGCTAAGAGATAATATTTCAGGACAGACCATAATGCTGAGATGGGAAGGAGAGTAGTTGGACTTGAGATGTAACTCTGCTTTCCTAGCATTCACAAGGCCCTGATTTTGATCCTTATCACTGCCAAAAACAAACAGGAAACAAAAGGGGAGGAACATCAGCATAGGAAACCCCCTCTGCAACTATTGTTGCAGGTATTGTTATAGGACCCGGGACTATGCACCAGGCTCACTGATGACCCCCTTAGGTGGGTATGCTCTCTAGTTGATATCTGCACATCTTCTGCCATAAGTGTTATAATTATTATTCTCACTTTTACATTTGATAAAACTGAGACCCTCAAATACTAAGTGGAAGGAGTGAAATTCAAATGAAAATCAGCCGAATTAAGCTTTGGACTCTTCCCATCTCTTGAAGGAGACAGAACTAACTACCTAATATTGGGACACTTTGACGTATTTCATCAACCATAAAGATTTTTCAGTACTGTTAATATGAACATTTTTGAGCTAGTTCCACCATTTCTGCAACAGGCTGTCCAGGGAGCATTGTGGGTTGTTTAATGACATCCTTGTTCTCTATCTATCGGATGCAAGTAGCATCTTGCTCCTCTTTATAATCACAAGCAACCAACTATCTCTCAACTTTACAATTATTGGTACAAGGAAACTAGATCATGCCCTATTCCCAAAATACCTAAAACACTGTGTTGTAACTAAGTTCTCAGAGAACAAAGTGTCTTAAATATCTTTTTTATGTTCCTCCTTTCTACTTTCCTGTGTGCCAATATGTACCTCCTATGTGTCTGGATAGTTTACACTCACCTTAGAGTTTATAAGCAACATTTAGACCACTTGTTCAACAAATTTTGGCTATATCTACTGACTGAATGCAAAAGGTCAAGAATTCTAAATGCCAGGAGCCTATTTTGAGAAAAAAAAAATTGTCTCTGGATTCAAAACTTGAAGGTAGGAAAGTAATTCCTGATACATTTTGTAACATTGAAAAGCTCAGACAGTGGAACCAGGATGTACTCCTGGTACACAAAAGGACCTTGCGGACACATCCCCCATGGAGGGATACTCCCTTAACCTAGAGGCAGGAGAGAAGTCCTAGTCCCTATTTCAAATGGCTTGACAGATTTACATGACCCCACCTGGATGGCATTGCCCTACATGTGGAATTGGGGTGGGGTGATGGGAGAGGAGGGTGGTCAGGGTGCATGTGAGGGGGAAAGAGGGAAAGAGGGAGAGAGGGAGGTTGGGAGCAGCAAACACACACAAGGAGAGAGAAGGAGAGGGAGGGAGAGAGGAAGAGAGAACTGGGATCGACATTTAAAATAAAAAATAAATAATAAATAAATAAGCTTATTGCTTCCAGGAAGGAAGAAACTGACCCAAGCCAGCTGTGTCAGTGCATACCTCCATCCTCAACATTTGAGAGGGTAATGGAGAAAGATTACCTGTTTATAGGCAGCTTAACAACAGCAGAATCCAAAGCAGAAGGAGTGACTTGAATATTCACGGACATTACTAACTGACCCAAGAACTCGCTTACCCAGGAGCTAGTACAGAGTAGAGTCCATTAGGATGCGCACATACATTGATGCATGCCTTCGTGAGCCCTAACAATTTAAATGCAGTCCTGTGTCTTGCCACACCTGGAAAACACATACCATTTCTTCTAAAAATTCTCCCTTTCATTTGTGTGTGCTGTCTACGGCCACACCACCCTGAACGTGCCTGATCTCATGTGTACTAGATTTTCATTCACTTCAGCCCCCTTAAATTGAGTCAGCAGTGGGAAGGAGAACTGACTCCTGGGTGCTTTCTTGGCACTGCAAGTCCTGCATCACTGGATTTTTGCTGCTCATCATTAGTGGGTGTTCAGCGAATGAATCTTAAATGCAGTTAGCACAGGTAAGAGTGCTCAGCACAGTGCATCTAAATCAGGTGGACTTCTTCCTTGGCATTTTAGCTCCAGGCATTTGCTGCTCCACTGCTCTCCATTACATCCAACCCAGAATCATCACATCTTGAGATGCTCATTTATTCGCTGGTGTTATTCGCTGTTTTGAGTGTAGCACTACAATGCACATTTTCTCTGAGGCTGCCTAGACCATGGAAGAGAGCTCTTTCATAATTTTATGTCACAGGACCCCTCTATAATTTATGTCATTTTCTCCAAACCTGTCTGTGTATTTTAATAGGCCTAAGTAACCCCGGGGTTAGGTCTAATCAATGTCCATGTTTTTCTTGTCTTGCCAGAAGGAGGGACCTGTGAAGTGATTGCAGCCCACAGGTGTTGTAACAAGAACCGCATCGAGGAGCGGTCACAAACAGTGAAGTGCTCCTGTCTACCTGGGAAAGTGGCTGGAACAACAAGAAACAGACCTTCTTGTGTGGATGGTAAGTAATGGGTTTTAGCACTCATGAATTCACTACATACAATATATAATGTGTTGTTGTATGTAAACTACCTGTGTTTCTGAACTCAATGAATGTATGGAAAGTTGGTTCCTCTGGTATTAGGTTTGAATGTCTATTCCAAAACTCACATCGAAGGCAGACTGCCGTTTTGCTGGTGCAGGAAGATGAGGCATCTGGGAGGTGAGTGAGCCATGAGGGCTGCACCATCATGAGTGTGGTTAGTGACATTTGAAAGGGGGAGTCTAGCCCCATCTTGTGTCCCTGCTTTTTTGGTTCCTACTAAGTGGTGATGTATCAAGAAAGGCCTCTACCAGATGCTCATGGCTTAATTTTGAGTATCCAAGTCTCCAGAGCTGTAGGAATTAATTTATTAATTTATGTTTATGAATTATCTAGTCATAGGTGTTCTGTTATAGCAGCAAACACACACAAGGAGAGAGAAGGGAAGGGAGGGAGGGAAGGAGGGAGGGAGGGAGGGAGGGAGGGAGAGAGAGAGAAAGAGGGAGAGAGGGAGTGAAGGGAGGGGGAGAGATCTGGCTTGAGGGATTTCAAATATCATTTTATTTTGATACTATTTAAGGAAATTAAGTAAAGGAATTCTTAGGGCAATAAGTGTATGGATTCAACTTATTTTGGAAGTGATTCTGTATGGAATGACAATCATGTTAGTGATAGGAAAGTTGGAAAGTTGGCAGTACCTACTGTGCATTCAAAAGATATTTAATGCGGACTAATTTTCTGCAAGGTATCATTGTATTTACTATATATATATATATATATATATATATGTGTGTGTGTGTGTGTGTGTGTGTGTGTGTGTGTGTGTGTGAATGAACACCATTGCCTTGAGTATGTGTCAAAATTTGGTTCATATTGCTCATTTTACTTTATCTAACCCTACCAAAAATCTTACTAGTCCAAACGCTGGACTAGAATTGTAGTTCAAGTGGTAAAATGCTTACCTAGCATGCACAAAGCCTTGGGTTCAATCCCCAGTACCACATAGGCCTGGTGTAGTTATGCATGTCTGTAATCCCAATGCTCAGAAGGTGGAAACAGGGGAACAAAATCATCCTTGGCTACATAGAAAGTTCAAGACTAACCTGGGCTACATTAAATAAATAGATTAGATTAAATTCCAACTATTATTCTTCCATGCCTATGGATCAAGAATTATACTTAGCTGGGAGGTTCTGGCTCTGAAGCTCTCATGCAGCTGCAATTGAATTCTTAAATGTTGACTGGTACTGACAGGAGGTTTTAGGATGGCTTGCTCACATAGCTGTTGGCAAGAGCCCGATTCCCTCTTCAAACATCTGCTTTACACTCTTATATGAATTAGAAATGTGTAAAAGGCACCACTCTGATCCCACTTAGTATGAGAGCAAAGCTTCAGTAAAGCATATTTAAACAAGATCCCATGCTGTAAATACCATTTCTGAAACAAAAAAGTGTGTGTGATTGATCCAGCTTGGATTAAGAGGTCTACTTTTGTCTGGTCAACTACAGACAGAAGTACAAGATTACATGGCCAGCACATCTGTCCTTCTGTTCCATAGCAAAGTCCATTTAGTCTTGAAGGTTGTGACTAACCCAAGTTTGTGCAATCAGTTCTGCAGTGGAGCAGTTTCTCCCAGGAGTCACGAGGACAGTGTTATGGCTACTGGCTTCTGGGATGGAATACTACTAAGCATCAATAATATACTGGTCTCCTCCCCTGACCAAAATTTACAAATACAACAATAATGTCATTGGTATTGAGGTTTATTGACTTGGAATGTACTTGGACTATACTGTATCACCGTGAACACCAAAAGCATTGCTGACAAGGGGAAAGGAACTAGCCTACTAAAGCCATATTGGCCTCTTTCAGGAGGAAGCTCTTGCCAGGGAGGCAGGAGGCATTGTGTAGCACAAAGCTACAATAGTCACTTATGTTCTTGGCCAAACAAAGCAATGAGATTGTTACCTATAAATCTCCATCCCAATTCTAGGTAATTGTCATCACTAATGATGTAGAATGGAAATGCCTTCAGATTTTGGATGAAAAACACAAAGTGTAGTGTGTTGTCTGTGCTGAGAGATTGGGAAATGGCAGTTGGCTCTCACTTTGTGTTAGATGATAAACCATATGACAGCAATATTTTCATCTCGGAACAATTTATTTCATTTTGGAAGCTTCTTATTGTAAGTGTGGTTGTTTCAAACAAAAAGACCACCACCTCTATATGCCAAGCAAAAGACAATAGAAACGTTTTTTAGTCCGATAGTGAATATTCATATTTAAATAGAATTCCATTCTCAAGTCGTTGGGTATGTATGGACAAGTACATGTTGCTATCATTAAATTTGTTTGGGTGACCGCACTCTCTACATGGAAAAATAAATAAAATCAATCAGTTTGATGTAGTTGCTAGAATATTAGACTGAGTGACTGCATCTGGGCAGAATCACAGCTGTACCTTTTACCAATAGAACTATGTTGGCAAGGTGTGTCCATCTATCCCCAGTGTGCTGTCCTCTCCAAAGAGAGGATGAGAAGGATTTCTGCCTCCTGGAGCTGAAGTGAGGAATAATAGAACTATATTTGTAATGTTATTTCCACACTAGCTCCCCTCAAATGCTCCTTAAATTATAGGTTCTATTTCTTATCTTACTAGTAAATGTGGGTAACTGTTAGAAATGTCAATGTCATATTAATTCAGCATGGTGGCATCTTGGCCCCATGTGTTCTGAGAATATTTTCCAGCTGATATCCAGATAACACCAATTGTCTCTCAGGAGTTCAAGCTTGTAGAGATTTTGTTTGTTTGTTTTTCAAGAGAGAGATTCGCTGTAGCCTTAGTTGTCCTAGAACTTGCTCTTTAGATCAGGCTGGCCTCAAACTCACAGAGATCTGAGTGCTGGGATTAAAGGCATGTGCCACCATTTCCCAGATAGATGTTGTAGGGATTTTTAAACCCACAGATATATAATATCGATACGTTGAAAGCACCAATGATTCCATTTCCCAGAGATGGTCATGGCTTTGCATGATTGCCTTATAATCTAAGCCAATCACTAAAAAGTAAAAGCTCAATGGAGATATTTACCAGATTTAAACACTATGATACTGATTGATGGAGGACTCATTTCACTTAATATGTGATAAATATTTTCCATGTTTGTGCATTCTTCCAAACATAATTGTTGATAGCTACATAGAATTCTCACTGATAACTATACCTGCATTTATTTAACTGCCCTCTCTGCTTTGACACACTACCACCTTTTTGTTCAAGTTCCCCTTATGCTTTTTCCTAAGAGATAGAGACAGAAGACTGACCTGGGCTATGGAGTTCCAGGAGACCTCTTGGTTCAAACATAGTTAAACCAGCATCTGGTATTAGTACATATTGAGCTTCAAAAGCTTTTTTGTAAAATGCAAATATCTAGATAAGTAGGAAAAGGCAGTATAGCCAGCGTAATACAGAAACATTGCCTGCCTCTTCCTGTTAGATATTAGATATCATAGGGATTGTGCCTTCTAGGGTCATTGCCATAGACTAGGTAGAAGTGCTTCTGTAAGCAATGCTTTTAGACACACTCTGTCTGCCTCTTTATCTCTGTCTCTGTCTCTCTTTATCTCTGTGTCTCTCTCTATCTCTGTCTCTGTCTTTCTGTCTTTGTCTGTGTGTGTGTGTTGGGTGCAGGACCAGAGCATCTGTTTTATAGTGAAATGTTCCTACATGTTTCTCCATTTAGAGTTTGCCAGGTAATGCATATCTAAACTTCAGTAAATACAATGTGAGGGAAAGTTCTACTTCTGGTCTCTAGCAATGTCTTGAATGCATTGTGGACATTAGTCTGAGTTTGAACTAGTCCAAGTTTGATTTGACTTTGCACCATTGTCTGCCTTTCTTCTTATCCCAAGAAGTGGATGACTATTTAGGTGACTCCTGTTCCTGGTGATTTTGACTTGAGGCTCTTCTTTCTTATGTCTTACCCTGTGTCGACAGGCATGGGGAGGGAGACAGAAGCAAGCTTCTGTTAGAGATCTTTGTACCTTTCACTCATGAACATCCCAGGACCTTTTTATCCTCTTTGTTAAAACAATGGAACAGTCACTGAATCCCCAGTCATTTTTGTGTCACAAACAAGACATTGCACATCAGTACAATTTGTTCCTTGTTTATCTTAAGCCTGTAAGACAAGAACAAATAGATAGGAAGAAAGGGAAAGAAAGATTCTGACAGTACAAAAGACTGGCAGACATGAGAGAGGCCACTCAGGGAGAGAGACACAGGGAGGAAAGGGAAGGTAGTGAGTTAGAAAGGGTATTCCACAGACAAGAAACACAAATACTAGGCAGACCTATCCACAGAATAGCTTGATTCACTGCCATGAGAAACTGGTCTATTCAGTCTTGCTATTGTTTTGGGATTGTTTCTTTGGAGTGAGGTTTTCTTTTACTTTTGAGATTATAATGTAATTACTGAATTTCAACTTTCACTTTCTTTCCTCCAAACCTTCCCATATATACCCTTCACTCTCTTTTAAATCCATGGCCTATTTTTCAGTCATTGCTATTGCATGCATATATGTACACACATATTTATTCCTAAATATGAACTGTTTAGTCCTTATAGTGCTTCTTCAATGTGTGCTTTCAGAGCTGACCATTTGGTAGGCCACTTCAACCACTCCCAGATTTTCTCAGTTGCCCCTAATTCTTTGGGTAAGGTTGAGGCCTCCTGGGCTTTTCTCTGCCCACATTATCATGTCCATTGATATCATCTTTGTTCAGATCATATTTAGACAGTCATTTGGTAGGAATTTATGATTCTGACACCTGACATTACTAGGAGCCAGATCTCACAGCAAACTCACTGAACATCCAGCCCCTACAATCCTTCTGCATGTTCCCTTAGACTTAGATGAAGGAATGTTTTATAGCTGTATCTTTTGAACCTGGGATCCACAACTCTGTATTTTGAATG